CTGTGTGAGTCTGGAAATGAAGTAACAAGATCCACAGCTTTTAATGTGTGGCAGAGGGAGAATAATTCAGTACAGCGCAGTGTAACAGATGCCTTGTTTGGGTCCATTCCTTGAACTGTTTGGATGCAGCTCAATTTAGCAGCAATCAGTCTTCCATATCTAAAAGTAGGGGTTATTAAACAATTGTAAAAGCACTGCAAGAGATGTTACTCATTGGTTTTGTCGCTTTTGAGAAGTGAGAGCCGCTGCCTTTAAGAACGTATTTCATATCCAGTGTTTGGTTTGCCAATGGACTGATCTGTTCCTCTTTCACTGTGTGGCATAATTTTCCTCTGTTGTCATTTAAAATGCAGTAGGAACAAGAAGTTGTACCAGAATTTTCCCATGTAACACACTGAATGGTTCAAGTATCGTGTTCTGCTGTACACACATGATGCTGATCTGCTTTGGGGTTTTAAGCCTCATGTTCCCTAAAATTCACTAGATGTAAAACTACCAATTGGCATGATGTAGCTTTCCCTTGACAGACATGTACATTTCAACACCTAACCAAGCTTTCCAAATGTCCCCTCTGTTTTTCTTGTCCTTGTTGAAGGTGCTGGTAGCATGGCAGTCCCAGGAGACTGACCCAAGGCCACAGAGCAGGTGTGTGTGTCATAGCAATGTCCTCTCTCCCTGTGTTGTCCCACTGGGTACTTCAACATTAGTTTGATGTGGTGAATGGAGGTAATCTGTTCATTAAAAATGTAGTTCTTGAATTATACACCAACATAATCAACTGGAATACCGTTCCTCTGTGGATACTGATGAGTAGTTACTCTTTTAGTGCCATCAGTTCTCACAAACGAGGACTGTCTGAGAAAGGGTCTGTGTTGCCTTTGCATTTTGCAGACTTACTGGGGACAAAAACATTTGGGAACTGCTGATGTAAAGGAGCAGGAGCAGCCACCTTACAACCCACCCTTTACAGAGCCTGTCTTAATTTAACTATTCAGTTTGAAAATAATAGTTTCTGAGCCAAGTTAAAATTAGTAGTGAGGATTTGTCTTTATAGGCAAGATTGTCTGCAAGATAGGAAGATCTGTCTGCAGTCATCAGATCCGACCTCTCCCCCGAAACAGGCAGCATGTGAGTCCTGATTGTAGTGGTGGTTTTCTGAAGTGCACTAAGATCACTGGCTTCTTTCTCACAGGGCACCGAAGGATCATTAAATGCTAATGACTTTTGATTACTGTTGACCTTGGTCAATTTAGAATTAGTGACCTAGAGAGGAAAACCACTGTATCTCATTACCAATTTCCTGAGCTATCTGATCTCTCCTTTGTAAGTCAGTTTTGGTAAGAGGCAGAGTAGAATTAAAGTTGACCTTTGTCTTAGAGAAAGGGTTGAGTGCTTTCAGGTTTGCAATATCATGTTTAAAAATAAATAAATAAATAAATATAATGGCAACCACTAAAAAAGAAATTATTTTTTTTGACCCCACAGATTGTCAAGAGCAAAGCTCTACATGGGCAAGCTTGAGTAGTAGTGATGGGGAACAAATGCATAATTTGTCTCTTTTAAATTAGTAGAAAACCAGTTTATCTCCTGTAACCTTGGATTGAATTCTCATTTTGTGGTTGCAGGTTTTCTCATCTCAGAGTTCATTTATAATTCTGGTTTTTTACTTTGAACTATCAAGAAGCAAATTAATGCTCATAGAATGCATTGCAAATTCCGCTCTGGGATATTTTCTACCTGCAGCTCCCTAACTATGATATTGAGGAATATGTCTTAGCAGGCTTGTAAAATCATATATTTCATGTTGTAATGAAACATTTGACATGATTTCTTTTCATATGCCCAGAAGAGAATGTCTGTGGGATAATTCGCTGTAACGGGATCAAATATGTTGTTCACTGTAGGTCGTTTAAACACAAGCCTTTCTTTTCACAGTTGTGGTTCATATGGACTGTCATTCATGCAGCAGGCATGGTATTGAAATCAGAATGAAAATGCATGAGAATTTTAATCTTATTTTTTCTTTCTCACTCTGATACATCAGCTGTATTTATCTTGATCCATCAGGGAACCAAACCTTTAACTTTTAGAAGAAAACAGCGTAGGGAAGTCTTTTGTTGTTGGTTGGGCTATAAATACAAAGTTATTGAACCTCTCACTGGGGTTAAATTGCAGACTTTAGACAGCTAAGCAAGAAAGTAACAGGAAAAAAATGAGTGGGAGACGTTGCACTTGGGGTAGGAAGTGGTTCATGGAAAGTGACTTGGAATCCACACAAGGAAAGTGGATGTTTATGCAAATAAACACAAGGCTAAGTGTTGCTCTTAAACATATTTTGTTTTGATTGCTTTGTCTCAAAAAGGATAGTGCTTTAAAAAAAAAGAAACAACAAAACCCAAACAAAATGAAAAAGATTGCAGGTGCAAAAAGGGTATATTAAAAAAATTAGGGCTGCTTTGGTAGAGAGACTAAAATCAAATGCCATGCATAGCCTGTGTGCTAACAAATACTGCAAGAGAGGAAAAGGCTTCAGAATACTCATTCTTCAGGTTTCTGTTTCAGTTAAGTTTGTGTCTACCTGTTGACTGCTCTGCTCAGGACTTTCTGCTTTTGTTTTCTTTAAAGCATTAAAAGCACTTAGGGGAAAAAATGTGAAAAAATATTACCTTTAGTTGTTAATATTATGCAAAGCGTTTAAATTCTCAGACACACTCAGCAGTTAAGAATATTTGGTAACAAGTGTGTTGCAGGTGTAGCGTGAGTTTTATAGCAAAATACAACTTAGCTATTGTGGACTTGGGTTTAATGCTTCTAGTCTTGCTTCAAGTTGCAGTTCTATGATACTATTCTACTCTTTCCCAGCTCTTGGCTATTCTGGAAGGTAAATGCTATTTTTTTTTAGCCTATATTCTGGCCTCTCTGAGAATTTACAATTTTGCCCATCTTTCTTCCTGCTTTTAGTTTTTTTTGGTAGTGTGGTTTGGTTGGTTGGCTGTTTTTTTGCCAAATTACTGAGTAAGACTTCATTGCCAGCTTTTCCATGCAGCAGACAGAAGTGGATGGAATTTTGGTTACTTGCAGTGCTGCCAATCAGAAATTTAGGAGAGAGGAGATTAGGAGATTTTGTCAACTGTAACACATTTTTTACTTGAGGAAATTAAGTAAAATCAGTCCCAGTCAAGTATCAGTCCCTTTTCCAAGTGAGTGCTTTTGCAAACACGAGGGTTGGAATGGTGGTTGGGAAGGATTCTCCCAAGGGACTAAATAATTCATAGATAGATAAACAGAACCAGGCTCCACAGCTGTGTGGGATGGGTCTAATGAGGTTTTTGTTTGTTTATTTGTTCTTTGAACATGCATATTCCATTTTTAAATGAGTGCTTAAAGTCAACTTAAATTGAATGAAAACTAGCAGTGGACAGACAGGAAGATTTGTTAAACTATAGCATGTATTTATTTTGATTAATCAAAATTTATCATCTGAAATTCGTTTGCTTGTAAGGGGAAATTCAGAATTTAAACAAAGAATGTTAATAATGCATAGGCATAATAACTGCCAAGGGAGACACTTGGCAACTTTACAAAAAAGAAATATATGCATTTTCTCATAGCCTACTTGGAATTCTTTCCTTTATTCATGATGTGGTTGTAGCAGACAGTTGGGAATTTTGATGAATGAAAGCTTGTTTTTTATAGAATTGTCCAGTTCATGCTACTACACGAGGAACAAGTCTGTAAATGAAAGATACAGAAAACCACAACTTATTAGAAGAATTTAAAAAAAAAAAAATAGGAACATTAGTGGTATCCTTGCTATTGCAGCAGGAGAGACTGATGTAACATGAGGAAGGATACTCCCATCAGCCCTGGAAATTAAATTGATTTCTTGATTGGAAGTTACCTTTAGAAAGGCATAATTATAGCAGTACCATGCTATTAAAAGTTGTACCAAGAGCTGGGCTTAAATATGACTCCTGTGCCAGCCCTCACAATGGTGTCAAGGTGTATTATGTTCTTAAGGGATAAATGAAACTGGGACTGGAAGGGTATTGCACACACTGGGATTTGAACAGCAAAACTGCTGCTTCAGTTGTTCCCAATATTTCATCAGGAGCTGATTTCCAAGGGCTTGTAACCTGCTCCTGATAATTTGAAAGGGGCATGTACTTGATGGGTAGTACCTCAGCCTTGGAATATAGTCCTTTGCTTAATTCTTCACCTCTGGTGTTTTGAATTCCCATTAGGCAAGTGTTAAGATTTAAGCATGGAATTTCCTACACCCTCTAAGTTAAAATATTTCTGGTTTCTCTGCTTTCCTTATAAAATAAAAATTAATGTGCCTTTGAAGAGCTGTATTTCTCTATTTCTCGGTTGTATATATCAAGTTTAGATCTGTTAATATATAATTAAAGAAGAAAAATGAGGCTTGCTGAAGAAGATTACGAGCACATGGTAATAAGCTTTCAGAAATGGATAGATCTTTGGGTCAGAGAAGGTCAATTTTCTTGATCCTCTTGCTAGAGACAGACTGATCTAAACTGGGGATTTTGACTAGTCTTTCAACAGGCAGTGGTTCATAGGCTGCTTTTACTGACTGCCAGCATATTGATTTCTAAATTCATTAACAGTATGTGCGTAGTAGAACAAGAAAACTATGTTGCAGGGAAATAAATGGAAGTTACTGTCAAAACAGAAAGGACAGTGAGTGCAAATAGCACCGATTCTTTGGGCTTTGTTTCTCCTGTTTCACATGCATCTAATGGCTGGTTTATGAGGCTCGGTTCCTGAGCTCATGAAGTGCAGTGGAAGGTGGTATGAAACCTGTCAGAGGTTTGCAGTTTTCCATAGGAACTTCTAGAGTCTGTTGTGGAATCAGTGCCATTTCCCAGGTGTTGGTGGGTGGCTTAAGAGCAGGCAAAGGTGGTAGTTTGGCTTTTTATTTACTGGGGTGGATTTTTATCCTGTCATGCAGATACTTCTTGTATGTTGGGGTCTGTCTGACTTCTGGGTTCAGGCAGAACGTGCTTCAGCTGCAGCTTCTCCCTCCCTTCCTTTCCCAGAAAGCACAACAAACTGAACACGTGTGGTGTGTTACAGAACTCAAGGTGTGCTGGACTCCTGTGGATTCACATTTATGATCCATCTTTCCCAGACGGAGTTGTCTGGTCAGTCCATCAGTCATTCTCTCCCTTCCTCCTCTGTAGCCTCCCAGTGACCTTATCTGGTGTGTGTGTATATAATCTTTGGATTTGTACCGGTCAATTGGTTTGAAGACATGTGCAGAGGCCTTGATTTTTATATACTTTGGGAGCCTATAAAATGGATTTGTGGAATGACAATCAAATCTCCCAACTCCTGCTTTCTCCTTCTGCCAACTGCAGTGCTGAGAACCAGATTTGCTGAAGAGTCTGTGTTTTCTCTGTATCTTAAAGGGTTTTTTTTTAAGACTCCTTCCTTTTGAAATGTTTGTCCTGTGCAGTGGCAAAAGGATTATTTTTGTAACTAGAACGGCTGGAAATTTACATAAGGAGAGGAGAAAAGCTCAACAACCTCACATTCTGTGCTGAGAATACCTGCTGTGTCCCTGTTATAAACTCAGCTGTGAGAAGTTATAAACATCCCATATGTGGGATGAGTTTCTTCTCCTTTACCCCTTCTTCTCCCTCTCTACAGTTCAATATGGTTTAGGTTGTTATTTTCCCTTTTCAAATCAATCTGTTGCAGATAAAAAAGAAGGAGAAATAGGGAAGGAGAAAGAAAAGCTTGCTAGAAATAATTTCTTTGGGAGTTACATAACCTGCCTCTCCATGTATTTAGGAACATATCTCTGCCTTTCAGCTACACCAGACATAACCCACCATCTTCCTCTAAAGTAGCAGTCAGGGAGATTTCGCAGTAAGATGTTGGATTGTGGAATGGAGCAGCTGAGGCAGGGATATGTCTCCTTCTGTTCCCCCCTTCCTTGAGCAGTGACTTCAGACAGAGAGGACAGATGTGTGTCTGGGAATGGCACCATCCCCAACCACTGCAGCAAAGCCTCCAGATGGCCAACTGCTAAGGTATTCTGTTAGTGCTTCCCGTGGAGACCTGGCAATCTTTGGAATACCTGCAGCAGTGTCAGGTTAAAGACATTCTGAGTGTGCCTTACAAAGCCACAGCTGTGGTTCAAGCAGTTGTGATGGCATTTCAACAAATACCCTCAGTAATGTTATTTTTTTTTTAAGTCAGTGGCAGATTTCTCTCGGGGATTTCAGCGAGATTTCTCCACCAACCTTTGATCACTTTAATTTCACTGTTGTACTCCTGTCCAGCCAAACTAATTAAGGCAAAACGTGGCTAAATTTGCTTATGAAAGCAAAGATGTGTTTTTTTTTTCTTTGAAACTTAAAAATAATGATGAAGTTGCATTTTAATTATCTCCCCCTCAGTATTTTAAGGTGTGATGTGTTGACATCTCATACAAAGTATTTTTTTATTTTCCTGGTATTGTTCAGTGGCTGTGCTTACTTGTGGTGTTTTTGTGCACTTGACCTGCTGTTAAAGAAATCTGATCCATATTTAAGTTCTGAGTGAACTAATGACAGAAAATTATTCTTTCCTAGTTGAATGATTTGCTTGGCATAACTTATATCCTGTATATTTCAGAAAGGATTTGTGAATAAAATCAGAGTATGTTTGTATCTCAAGGAGTGATTTCTGCCCGAGCCTCTAAATTATTCAGACTTTTTCATTTAATGCCTTGAAATATCGATTAAATATATTCACTCTGGTTTGCTTTAATCTGATTGCACATCTACAAGTTTTCTTCTGATGTGGTGCAGCCGGTGTCGGGTGTAAACTGGTTTAATTAGCACTGCTCAGTGATTTGGGACCCCTGTCAAAGGCTGTTACGTTATCTGGAAACACAAGGAGTTAAAGCTGGAGCTGTGACCTCATCTCTATTCATGTTACACTGGAGCAGAAGCTGCGCTGAAAGGGGCTGTTTAACCGCATCGCTGTCTTTGCTGCTGCTTGATCGCTTTAATTTGGTTCTGAGATCTGTAGCGTGCTTTGCTGAACTCTTACGGAGGGGATTAGTGGGAATACCAGAGGCAAACCGAGCCGTGCTAATATCGAACGTCCGTAGAAATAGCTCCCGCAGAAATACTTAGACTCAAATACACCTTTCTACCCGATTCCAACTTTTTTATTGCTCCCCCCGTGACAATTCAGGCGGCACCGAGGAGGGCTCTCTCTCTCTTACACACACACACACACGGTCCTGGCTTACGCAACCGTGCCGTGTGTTATTTAATTGCTTATCTGTGCGTAGGAGATGCCGATTCAACCGCTGCGGCTTTAACGTGGGAGCGGCGCACGCCACAATAGGTGTCACTGTGCGCGAATCCAATCGTTTTCCCTGGCTGCAGCCATTGGCTCCATCCGCGCGGCTGCGATACCTTACTCCGCTCCCATCCCTTCCACGCACAACTCCAGCTCGCCGAGCACACTGGCAGCGCGACCGTGCGCCTCCTCACACCCCCTCCGGAGAGCCTGCTCCCCTCCCGGGCTGTAGCGCTTTCCCCGCGATCCTGGCCGGGAAATCTGGAGAGAAATAAAGCTGGCGGGAATGATGGGGATGTATTTAACGATTCAAGTACTGGATCAAACTTAAATGTTTGTTACAGTTCCTTACTCGGTGCACTGGAAAGGTCACCTTGTCTTGCTGGAAAAGAAGCAAACTCTCAGCTCTGCTGCTTTCTGTGTAACAGCTTCCACGTGCATTCCTTAATGTTCCTGGCTAGTTAGGCTGTCGGGCTTTTTACAGACCGGTATACTCATGGTAGATGAGAAAGGAAAGAACATGAAATGTCTCACCTTCTTCTTGATGCTTCCAGAGACGGTCAAGAACAGGTCCAAGAAGAGCTCTAAGAAAGGAAATAGCAGCGGCAGTAGCAGCAGCAAATTGCCTCCAGTTTGCTATGAAATCATTACCTTGAAGACCAAAAAGAAGAAGAAGATGGCTGCTGATATCTTTCCCCGAAAGAAACCAGCCAACACTAATACAACTGCTGTCCAGCAGTACCATCAGCAAAATCTCAATAACAACAACACTATTCCAGCACCCAATTGGCAAGGACTTTATCCAACCATCAGAGAGAGGTAAGTTCAGGGCAGTTTATTTCTGCTGTTTGAATGGAAGAGTGAAGAGTAACAAAATGTTCAGAATGCATTTATTTGCTGAAGAAAAAGCAGTTTTATTTTGTCTGTTTGTTTTTGGTTTTTTTTTTTCTCCCTCTGTGTGTGTGAAACAAGCGTTTTGGTAATGGAAAATATTTTATTATCTCTTTTCCAGACAGTGCAGCTGTTTGCCTTGAGTAAATAAAAATGTTACTGGGAGCTGCAGCATCCCTGTAAAGATTTGCTTGTAGACCTTGGTGGGGATTGTCAGTGAAGCGTTCTCTTGACTTAGATTTCCACTGTTTGAAAAGTTCTCAGAAGTTTGGGGTTTTCTTTCTTTGCACACACCCCCCCCCACACACACACACACTTTAGTGTTTTGGTATTTTCTCTGGTATATTGGTGTGATGATGTGTAAAGTAGTTTGAAGCATGACCTGCTTCTCTTTGCTAAGTTTAAGTTGTTAAGACATTAAATTTCTTGGGTCTGGGGCAAGCAGAGAGTTACCGGGCGCCACAAATTAACCCACTCCCTCTGTTTGTAGAAATGCAGTGATGTTCAACAATGACTTGATGGCAGATGTTCATTTTGTGGTCGGGCCACCAGGTGGGACCCAGCGGCTGCCAGGACACAAAGTAAGCAACAGCTGCATTATCCGCTCGGGCTGGGAGAGCCGGAGGGAGCTCCTGCGGTGACGCCAGGACATGGCGTGGGAGGCTCGGCTCTGCTGGGACAGATCTTCTGTGTTTTAGAAGGGTGCATGCAGTGAAATAGTCTGTCCTTTTTACATTTGTCGTGCTAAGGCAGTAAAGTCAGGAGTACTCCTTTGTGCTGTTGGTTAATATTGCTCTGGAGATTTTCTAGAAATAGTTAACTTTTGTGGTGGACATGAGCATTTTCCAGTAGCTAATGCATCTATGCCCAGGAGAGTAAAATGAAGGAAAAATGTGTAATTTGTTCTTAACTTGCGCTTCATTTCTTACTGAAGTGTGTCTATAGAGCCTGTCAGTGAAGCCCAGTACGCTCAGAGTGGCTCTCCCACACTGTTTTTGTTGGCAGTGCTTTCAATTTAAAGCATGAAATAAGATTTCCCTTTCTCAACAGTACGTCCTGGCTGTTGGGAGCTCTGTATTCCATGCGATGTTTTACGGAGAGCTTGCTGAGGACAAAGATGAGATCCGTATCCCAGATGTTGAGCCCGCTGCTTTCCTCGCCATGCTGAAGTAAGCACCATTCATCTGCTGGATGTTTTTTCTTTCCTGATGTATACACACACACTGCTGATGTTAGAGCTGAAGTATTTGACTTGCATGTAGACAGAAAGAAGGCAGTCTCTTAAAATATCCCTCTTTTTTTGTTTTGTTTTGTTTTAAACTTTCACCTCGTTTTGCTCTCCCCCTCTACTCCCAGGCACACACATATCAGCCTAATGTAGGCAGTTGTAAATAATGACTTTGACAGGGGATCTTTGGGCACATTGTGTACTGTAATGCCTATCGATCTGATTTGTCACTACACGTTACACAAAGGAATGGAGTTACTAAAAAGATTTGTCAGCTGTAACAAAAAAAACCCAAACCAACTGTTCTACTTTGTGGGCACGGGGAAAAGTTAAAAACAAGCGCACAAAACCCCCCCAAACCTAGTAAATTGCTGGGTTGGTATGTTGACATTGTTCCAGCTCTTTTATAACTTGCTTGTATGCAGGTCTTGTCTTTGAAAAACCACCCTAACTTATTGAATATAGCCTCTGAAAATTAAATTTCTCCTCATATATCATTGTGATGCATTTGGAAAGTGATAAAAAGGCTGTTTATGTGAATAGGGAAAAAGGAAAACCAGTCAGTTTACATGGTCATTATTTTTCTTCTTGCAAACTGCATAAGAAATGCTGTCTTTTCCTAAATGGGCATAATGAAGCAGCTTCACTGCTGAATTGTCCTTGAATGTATCTATAAACTCTGATTACCAAAGAGAAATGACATATCACAGAAATGCTATGGCTTTGAGGTTTTTTTCCCCTCCAGAAAATACATCAGTATCTGATAGTGATCCTTTTAATGTGCTGCAGATTTTCTTGCTTGTAATGGTATAAACCCTAGCTAGAAATTTATTGTATTTCACAGATTGTTTTGAATAACCTGTGATTACAGAATGTTGTGGGTTTTTTTCTTTTACATTTCAGCGGCACCGTAGATGAACATTAAAAATTGCATATAGAGTTTTCATAGGTTATCATGAACATCAGAAATGTTCTTTGCATATATCAGTAACTGGCAGGAAGAGCTACACAGATGTTCTGTAGACCTGCAGTACCAAGTTAGATATGACATTATGCAGGGAGATGGATCCTTGCTTTGGGTCTTTCTGGCTTTGTGGCAGAGCTCAGAATTGTGCTTTACTTTCATGCTGAATTTTACAAATGACAAGTACAAGATACTTGGGTTTCCCCAACCCCCCTTTCTTTTTGAAAAGCAAATCTATTTCACTGTGGCTAAACTTGATTTGCCATATAAAAACTGAATGCTCCCTGAATTTATCATTAAGAAATGTGTTCCGAGAGCAAACCTAGATAGGAGAGTATCAATACTGACATCTAGGTCTTGGTATGTTATTTAGCCCATGGCAATTTAGGAAACTCTCTATGAGAGCATGACCAGAACCATTGGATTCTCCACCTTCTCAGCTTTCATTTAAAAAGCTAAAAGACCAGAAAAAGTTTGTGGTCTGTGTGGATGTTGAGGTAACCCTGCCAGTGCTGCCTTCCCCTGATGCAGTGTGCCTGAACCTGCAGAGCTCCTGTGCCTGCAGATTCTGGGATATCTGCAGCCCTGACGGTGCAGGGAAGGCAAAGGGTTGTTGCTCAGCAGTGCAGCATTCCCCTCATCCCAGGATCCAGTGCATGTGGAGCTTGTGGGGAGCCACAGTCCCCCTCACTCCTCTGAGAAATCATCCCAGAGTGTTATTTGCAGCTGCTGTGAGCAGTGGATGGCAGAAGGCTCACGATGCTGTTGCTGCAGAAGGAGCAGACTTTTTACCTATCCCAAAGCAGCCCTCTCCTTCATACACTTTTTTCGGCATCATAAACTTTGTCAGAAGATACACTGAATTAGTTTTTGTGGTTTTCTTTTGTTTGTTTGTTTTTTGTTTTGTTTTGATATCTTGTTGGTTTTGTTTTGTTTTCCCTGGACAATGAATTCTTACAGCATAAATATTTGTTGTGTTTTACTATATAGGGGGCATTCTGACAACAAACATCAGATGAGGTTTTGCCAAATGTACCACAGAAAATAATGCCTAGACTGGTAGATGTTAATTATTCTCCCAGTAAAATTGCCTTGGCTGTTCTCTACAGTTTTAAAAATAGGGTTAAACTCATAGTCTAAAACACATAGTCTCGCTGAGACACTGAATTGGTGTCTTTAATGTATTCTGTCTTATCCTAATCTTGACTGTTGAAGTTAGAACCGTGATCTCATCCCAGGATGAATGTGTTACTAAACCGTCAAATCCTGTGGTCCAGCAGAATCCTCAGTTTAAGAACAGGGTGAACCTGGAATATCAGCAATTGCAGACCAGAGTGGAGGTGTGTTGGCAGAGTGGGAAGTGTGGGATATTGCTGACAGCCGATCTGTGCTGTGTCTGCTGTAGAGCAGTGATATTAGTTCTGCACTTTCATGAATATTGAACTCGAAACTTTTGTACTATTTCGATTTAAAACAGATGTCATCATTCTCTCTATACTAGCAGGCAAAGAGAAGGAGTAGAAGGAAGGGAAGAGTTGGAGAGCATTGAGGAGAATCATAAAAACAAATTAATTGAAACACAGGAATTTTTTGGCCAGTAAAGGAGCTAAGCCTGTAACCAGTGATATATAGATGTGCTCTTTGTTGTTACAAATAAGCTGAAACCAAGTAGTAAAGATTAAAAACAGATTTGGCTCTTTGTAAGTATTCTTTTTCTCTGTAACCCCTTAGATTTTATATTGCTGGAGCAGTATCTCCTCTGTGCATGTTTCCTAAGTGTGGCTTGGAGGATACTATCTTACACCTGCAAAAATGGTTATTTACAACTACAATCAGATCAGTGTAGATACTAATTCTACCTTATAGGCACATCTGTTCTACCAAAATTGTGTAGGGAAACCTGCTAACTAGAAAATTTTTCAATTAGTCCAGGGTCACATACAACTTCAGCTTTTCTGGAGGAAGACACTTTTATCAGCCATAACCATCAAGAGTTGCTTATCCCTGTGAAGACTAAAATTGCATTTGGCATGGTTTTAGCACATTGTATTCACCAGCTGCAAATGGGGCCCTGAAGCATGAGATACTGAAAAGAACAAACTGTACAATGCTTCATTTCTCTGAGCAACAAATCCCGGCAGTTTAGTCACATAAATAGCATTTCACCTTCATCTCTTCCACCACACTAGCATAGCAGTAAAGCTTTTTTCCTCCATATGCAGTGAGACCGAGAGAAAACACTGCACTAGTGGAGTTACGATGTTGCAAGCATTAAAAAACCTCAAAATTACATTTCTGTGCCTTCCCCTTTTCCTATAGGTTTCATCACCCTGTTTAAAAAAAAAAAAAAAAAAAGATAAAGCCATCATCTAAAAACACCCAAGCCATTATTTATGGAAATGGATAGCACCTGATATACTTGAACAGGATTCATCTTCTTAGACTACCATGTTATTGCCTGTAAACTTGTTTTCATTCCTGTATTTGTATATGCAGCTCAGTAAATCAGGGTTCACCATCACAGAACATCCAGTCCAAATCCTCTTGGGAACACATGTTCCAGACTCATGTTAACCAAGTAAGGTGGCACTCAAGGAGCTCCCACCAGGGGCAGATGGGCTCTCATCAGCCAAGGCCTGTATGGAAGGGACACAGAGCTGGAGGGGCCGTGGTTTGTAAATATAACCATTGTCTCATAGCATGCACCCCAGATGGCAGGTTGGATTCACCTTAGATTTAAGCCTGTTCTCTTCCACGGTCTTACATGAGTGCTGACTTTGTCTTGTACTTTCTTTCTAGATTTAATCCATATTCCCCAAAAGCACTGCTTAGTTTTAACGTGGAGCCATCTAAATATTCTTTGTTTACAATTCTTTATAAGTTTGTTGGTGACGCATTTTTGCAATAAGCATCAGCGTTACGTTCCTGTGTTTTATTTCAGGTACATTTACTGTGATGAAATCGATCTGGCTGCCGACACCGTCCTGGCCACTCTTTATGCTGCCAAGAAATACATCGTCCCTCATCTCGCCCGCGCCTGCGTCAACTTCCTAGAGACAAGTCTGAGTGCAAAGAATGCCTGTGTGCTGCTTTCCCAGAGCTGCTTATTCGAGGAACCCGACCTGACCCAGCGCTGTTGGGAAGTGATTGATGCCCAAGCCGAGCTGGCTTTGAAGTCTGAGGGGTTCTGTGACATTGATTTTCAGACACTTGAAAGCATCCTCCGAAGGGAGACTCTGAATGCCAAAGAAATCGTCGTTTTCGAGGCGGCCCTGAACTGGGCCGAGGTGGAGTGCCAGCGGCAGGAGCTGACGGCAACCATAGAGAACAAGCGCAAAGTCCTGGGGAAGGCCCTGTACTTGATCCGCATCCCCACCATGGCTCTGGACGACTTCGCCAACGGCGCCGCTCAGTCTGGGATCCTGACCCTCAACGAGACCAACGACATCTTCCTGTGGTACACGGCGGCCAAGAAGCCGGAGCTGCAGTTCGTCAGCAAGCCCCGGAAAGGCCTCGTCCCTCAGCGCTGCCACCGCTTCCAGTCCTGCGCTTACCGCAGCAACCAGTGGCGCTACCGGGGCCGCTGTGACAGCATCCAGTTTGCCGTGGATAAGAGGGTGTTTATCGCCGGCTTCGGGCTCTACGGCTCCAGCTGTGGGTCGGCAGAGTACAGTGCCAAGATTGAACTCAAGCGACAAGGAGTTATCCTGGGCCAGAACTTGAGTAAATACTTCTCGGACGGCTCTAGTAACACTTTCCCCGTGTGGTTTGAGTACCCGGTGCAGATTGAGCCCGACACCTTTTACACAGCGAGCGTGATTCTGGATGGGAACGAACTCAGCTATTTTGGACAGGAAGGAATGACAGAGGTGCAGTGTGGGAAGGTGACTGTTCAGTTTCAGTGCTCTTCGGACAGTACAAACGGCACGGGGGTACAGGGAGGGCAAATTCCCGAACTCATCTTTTATGCTTGAACGAGAGCGTGTGGAGACAGAGCATTTTGCCATGAAGAACCTGTTAGGTTCAGGCCTCCTGACACTTAGCTTTTTATCTGCAGTTATGTGATCAGTACAGGGAATATGTAAACGCTGTGAGCAAGTTCCTGGCTTGCTGTACTTGTAGCATCATTGGTGACAAAGTTTAAATGTAATATTTTAAACTGGAAGCTCTTAGAAACAAGTGAGTTTTAAAGGCTTTTTGTAGGAGGGTGCCTTTTTGCTGGTGATGCTGACCCTTTCTTTGATGCACCTGTGAATCACCAGAGGACATGCCCCTCTTGTATCTCACTGAACACGGTCTTCATTGATCCCTTTTCTCCTCCTCCATTTCCTGCTTTCCGCTTGTAATTCTTTTGGGGAGGTAGGGGTAGAAAATGAAGAGCTTTGTTTTATGGCTCTCTCTGCTGTCTGCTCTGCAGACTTTTGAGATTCTGGTAAGCCAAGCTGCTTCTGACCATGGGAGCTGAAAGAAGTCCCTCAGTTGTAAGCAGAAAAGGTGCAGGTTTAAACCTCCATCCTGTGAGATTCTCCTGCAGCCAACTGTTTGGGATGGCTACAGGGAAAGATGGAGAGGAGGAGGCGTCTTTCAGGAAACCACACAACATGCTGACTGTGTCCACGGTACATGGACATGTTTACAGTGAGGAAGGGATGTGGGCTTGGCAAGTAACCCTCGGAGTTCACTTACTAGGAATCCCACCTCAAAGCCAAGGAAGTACTTGCACGTGTTCAAGTTGTATATGCAGCTCTTGAAACTCTACTCCCCTGACCTAGTTTTTGCTACATTAATTTGCTCTTTAAATGACTTTTCTTTGCTAAGTGAATGGGAATTAATATCAATCATCTGATGCAGGATAAGTTTTTGTTTGTTTGGGGTGGGGTTTTTTCTTCTTCCTAAACATGGTAAAGGCAGATTATAGAGGAACAACAGAATATATCAATCCTGACTTGGACTTTTTTCTGTAATACGAGATTTTTTTTTTTCTTTTTATTACCAGTTGCAATTTAGACAAAGACAGAAGATTCCCAACTGTGGTCATATTACACTTAGTGTATATCATCAGATAGCGGTGAGGAGGAAGAAGTCTTCTCTAATGTGTTAATGTTGGATCTCTTGCAACTGCTTATGGCTACACATCAGTCTGAGGATTATGTGGTACAGAACCCTTTCCTTGTCTGAATTTCACACCCCCCCCCAAACTTCTTGTTGTATGTCTCTATCATTTCTGGAAAATATTAGGGATACTCCTTGTATCAGGGAAGGAAGCCAGTATAAAAAAGAACTACAGGTACTATTTAAACATGAGCAAATCCTTCACCACTGCACTGGGACAGTTGCTCCTCAGAGACACACTACCTGTTGTAAAGCATCTCATTCTTCCTTCACCTCTGAAGTGGGTTCTGTTTGTTCTGTACGTTTTAACGAAACGAAAGGGACCAAATGATTCTTCAGACAGGCTGAAGATAAATGTTACAGTATATCACACATTAATGTAGCATAACCCTAAATTCACTTGTCAGTTCTGTAATAAAAATGTTTTTCTCCTATGATTTCTTACCAGTTTAATGCTATTACTCTGAGTGTTGCTGGACAGTTGGAATCCTGGCCCCCGGCCATCCTAAAGTGCCAATACATCTTTGCAGTGTCCGAAATACCATCTGAAGTAAGGAAAACTGGAGCATAGACATCAAACACTTTATGGCCAAAGCCCAGATCTTCTCTCTAGGTAATAAAGGCAGAGCCAGGTAAAAAGCTACCCCTGCAGGATTTATGCCTTTCATCCATCTTAGCATTTCATGTTTTATATACACACGTACATGTGTGTGTAAGCAGAGCTCTCTCTGAAATGTAAATACCCTCAAAATACGGAGAAAAATGTTTTGTTTTTTGTAACAGATGTACATAATCCAGACTGTTAGTGAAACCTAAACAGAATGCTCCATGGAAAACTCCCAGAGAGAGATTTAAAAAAACCTCCAGTTATTTATATTTAGATCTGCAGCTGAAAATAGGCAAGAGTATAAATGGTATGGAGTGGAGGAAGAGTTGCTGAAGAGATGGCAAAAAGGAATCGAAGACTGTGGTGAGGTAATGGTCATCTACTTTTAGGCAACATCTGAGCAGCAGTTCCATTTATTTAGATCCATTTGAAAGCAGTGAAAGATGCTAATCAGCTGATTAAGTTTTCTTACAGCAAGCGGCTGATGCAGATCTAATTACTCGGAGTGATGATCAGATTGACAAGTTCCTCGTGGTAGCAAACAACATTCTGAGTCGTTTGGGGAAAAAAAACAGGTGCCTCAGCTGGTGGGACAAGTCAGAGAGTACTGCATTGATATAACTTAGACTTGGGTCCTCACTTTTAATTTATTTTTTTGATTTTACTTACCTGTAAACAAAGGTGAGCTGTCTGCTACGTTCACTGGCTGAAACAGAAGTTCAGAATACGCTGTAGCTGTAATATGTAGAAAAATGAGCTGTTATTTAATTATTCTTATTTGCTGCTTTTATGAAATCCTTTTGACGAAGTAGGATGAAAGCAACCTCTGGCTTAATTCCTCTGAGTCCATTCCAGGTTTTAGGAGCTGGTGCATGTGAAGGTTTCCAATATGAATGATCAAACAAAAGCACCCCAAAACACTTTTGATGTTCCCAGTGTGACTTGTTTCTGAGCACTGCCTGATGCTAACAAGTACTGGCATATAAGAAGGTGGCCAGCACCAGTCACCTTGGGACATCAGGGCACTTCAGGAGGTGTCTAAATGTGGATTTGGTTGGTTTAGCAGTAGCATCCAAGCTTGAATACATTGTCTGACATCTTGCAAGCATCAGCCACGTCAGCCTGGAATGTAAATGTAATGTCGATAGAGATCACCTCGTAGATTCTGTCTTAAACTGTACCTGGCCATCCTTGCTACTTGTATCTTTGGTTTTCCTGGCAAGAGGAATCTGTGATAAGAGAGTATAATGTCATATACTTTCTGCATATCTAAAATAGTATTTAAGTAAACACTCTAATTTCTACATACGTATTGCACTGAACTGTTTTTGGGGTTTGTTTCGGTTTTTTTGTTGTGATAAACTTGGCTCACTTCAGGTCCCAGCACCCATTTGTGCTGAAGCAGTGTTTGACCTTGGCAGGCTTACAGCATTATTTATAAAGGACAGATATATATATAAATATATGAAGTACCTCATGTTGAATGTTATTGTACTGTATCTTTAATGTCACAGTGCAGATCTTGTTGGACTCATGAATGTGTATAATCACGTTAAACATACAAATAAAAATGATTCTTAAGTTATTGTTTCCTGCATATCTTTGAAGCATGAGCTGTGAAAGCCCTTACTTAGTTATCTCTTGTAGAAATTTCTATTGTTGTACAGTTTTGTAGGGATATTTGTTGAGCTTATGTATTCAGAGATCTTTTGATCCCCAAAGAAGCAAAAGTCTAAGGGAAAAACAAGGAAGAACAATGAAAATGTTAATCAGTTACATTGTAAAAAGGTTGACGATTAAGCTAATGAGCGAGAGTGAATGAATTCATTTATGTGCTTTATGAAAGACCTTGTCTAGTAGCATTAATATTTTAATGTTCTATTAATATTATTAAATATGTGGAGATGAAGGGGGAGGGTCTTTTGTTTATTCTAAAAGACAGTTGGCACAGGAAAGGCTATGCTTTTCAGTCTCTGATAGATCAGAAAGGACATGGTTAGTGCCAAGAGGCTGTTCTCTACTGAAAAGTTAATTATATCATATTATTCAGAATTCTGACTATTTTCTTACTTAACAATTTTCTTCCAGAAGCTTTGAGACTTCATTTTAAATACTTCTGTGGTCGATGAAGCTGAAGCCCCACTTCCATGATGTCTATCTCCAAGACCTTTCAGATATTCCTAAGCTAGTGATAAGAAATATTCCTCAGTCTGATAGACATGGCAATTTAATTGAGGAAGTCTTCTAGTAAAAATCAGTAACCTTCAGAGTTCATCCAAAATTCTGATTAAAGCCTGTTTACAGGCATCAAACTTTTCACTTCTGGTAAGTTGTTAGAGTTCTAACTGCAATACTTGGTACCAAACTGCTGCATTCCTGATCTGAGTTCTCTTATGTGTCCTGCACTTCTTGTGTGGAACTGGCTTCAAGCAGGAGCTTGTACTGTACTAATGACACCACCTCTCAAATGTGGGGTAGATGCCAATGTGATTTGGTGCAGGAAGGACCACACTGGCAGCAGAAGTCTAAGTTGGTACGTTAGAGGAAGTGGGTGCTGTTTGCAGCCTCAGATTCTTTGATAAACAGGCAAGAGGCAGAGAAGCACATATGTGTTTGCACCAGAAAAAAAAAAAGGGAATTTGAAGTGGAAGGAAAAAATGATAGGATGTTTCTGGGCTGGGGAGGAATTAGCCTTTGAGAGCTGAATTCAGTCCTGCTTGGTGGAGAAGGGACTCCCTGTTTCCATTCAGTTGGAAACTCCTCAGGAGCTGACAGCCCCTTCCCCTCTTGAGGGCAAGGTCCTGTCTGAAACAGGCTCCTTGTGAATGCTCAGCTCTTGGGTGTAGGAACCCAGGATTTCCTGGTCTCTGAAAAGCAAGACTAGTTATCCTACAGCCCAGGGCAAGCTTAAGGAAGCTGAGAGAGCTTTTTTGGACCTCCCAAGCCCAGCCCTCAGTGGAAGCTGAGATGTTGGCACAGGGGTGAGGTGGGGACTTCAGCCCATCAACGGTATTTGGCCACTGTGAAAAGCAGCGGCTTTGAAAGCCTATTCCTTGCAGGGAATCAGTGGGAGCAGGAATACCTGCTGTTTTCCTGAAGGCAGTGAAAGGAGCTGCTTTCTCAGATGGCAGTGTGACCACTTTCAAAATAAAATTAAGGCTTCTTGGCATGCTGCTGCATTTCTAGAAGTCTGAATTTATTTTCTCCCCAAGACTTCCTCATAAAGTAAGGCCTTGGCCCAATTGAAATCAGTAGGAGTTGCCCTAGTGACCTCAATAAACCCAGGATTTTCATTTGTAGTGCTCATTTTGTGTGATTATTCCCAAAACACAACATAAAACTGCCCAAGAAAGGGAAATTAATTTTGAAATCCCACTGTAATCTGATTATCTAAAATACAGGTACAAACATTTCTATTAAATTTTACAGAACTCCTGCTCCTCAGATTTTGTGTGCCTGCCCCCAAGCTTTTCTCCTACAATGCTTTATCTTCAACCATGAATCTACAGGCAGAACAGTAAATTTGTTTGAGGCTTTATGTATATTTTTACAGTCTGTGTGTGAAATTCATAGCGCATATGATGCATAGCACAGATAAAGTATTTTTGAGATTAGAAAGTGTGTGTAAATTGCCTGTAGTCTGCTCACCATGAAGGAGAAAACAAAACCAGCTATTTTACTTGAAGGCACTGGTATTTTGAAAGAGCTTCTTGAAGTCTGTAAGCTCGTTGATACCATCAGAAATGTATTTTATATTAAGCCTTTAATTGTAGCATTTTAAAATCAGCTTCCTAATTGTTTCCTGTAGACAAAAGATAACACAGTTGGCCTTCAGGGATCCTCCACCTTGGTACAATGGGGTTTACATTTGAACAGATCCTTGCAAGGGCAATTTTAAAGCTTCACAGTGATGTTAAGTGCTGCTTGGGGAGCATCGGTGCTTCAGAAATAGTTGTGGCTGGTTTTAGCCTAACAACAAACAGGGGCTTGCACGGGGAGGTGTCTGAGTGGGGTTTCCATTTCCCTGAGGGTGAAACACCCCGTGTTGCTGACAGCACCCATGTGCTGAGCACTGTGTCAAAGAAGCCAGCAGCTGTCAGGAGTTGGAAGGCACAAAGTGCATCGGGAACCTGTGTGTGAAGGCAATGGTGGAGGCTTCCAGGTCCAGGGCCGTTGTGAGCAAGGTGATTCCATGAGCCAAAGAACTGGGATCCTGTATCGCAGTACTCTGGGTGATGGGGGGTTGCTGAATGGCGTGTGATTGCGATTTCTTACAACTGTCAATCTCATTTTGCGTTTTATTGTTACTCTGGGAGAGTCTCCAGCTCTTCTCTACCCTGGGCTGCCTGTTCCTGCTTTGTGCCAGAACCTTCCACATGATCGAAGCCCAGCAATTCCCTTGTGTGCTGAGGCTGGGGACACTGGGAACACTTGGTGGAGAAGGACTAGCTGAGTGAGAGTGGGACATCCCAGTGCTTTGGTGTGCTCCTTGGAAGCTGTCCTGGATGTGCTGAACACTGGCCTAGCATGGCAGGAGAGGCAGGACAATTCCTTTGTGTGTGCAGATGTATTTCAGTACTCCCTAGCCTCACTTTCTCCAGCCAGTTGCTGGTTGTGCTCAAAAGGGAAAATGAGCATTCCTTCACTTTTTTTGTGGGGTGTAAGAGTTATGATTCTGCAAGGGCTAATTCATGCTTCTGTCTTTACAGAGTCAATGGTCCCTGTGGGCTCAGGGGAGGTGTTGAGAGACAGGGCTCACATCGCCTTTAAAAGCACACATGGAAACATCTGCTTTCTTTAACGCCTTGTTCTTAGGAAGTTGTAGTGCAATAAAGTAAATTCATAGACAGCTGGAGCTTGGCTTGTTCTGGCTTGTTTCTGTAGTGGGACTTTTTATGAATAAAAGAATGATGGAACCATATTTAGCTTGGAAATACTAAAATCCTGCAGAACTTCCAGAGCATGAGGGTAGCACAGTATAAAGGCACTTCCAGATGTGAAGATATTTCCCCTTGGTTGCGGCCTTAGGCTAAGGTATGACATGTTCTTGCTTTGTTCTTACCCACTAGGGCATGCTGGAGGTGGAGTCTACATCAGACACCTTCAGAGCTTGGGGAGAAACGTGCTGAGGGAGGGAAAGGAAGAACAGAGATCTGGAATACAGAGGAAAAGCATCTAATCAGAAATAACAGCTCTCATCAGGCACAGACAATAGACAGCAAACTGGCTTCAGGAAAGCTATTCAGGCATCGTGGGAGCTAAATCAACAGACACAAGGTAAGAATAGAGTCATGACAACTATTTAAATGATTTTTAAAAGTTGATTGTGCTTGAGACTTTCCTAGACCCTACAATGGGAAAATTTGTTTTGCTGCCTTAGAATACAGTCCATACATGTCTCTGCCTTTGTCCTCCACGCCTCATGTGGTAGTTTCTTCACAATATATCCTACATCAGATGTTTTTCCTCCTCAGTGCCTGGGTATGAGCAGGTTGGTTGACCCTGCTTAGGACAACAATTTTCAAGTATAGCCTGTAATTGTCGTATCGAGCGCTCTCCTTCACCCCCTCTACACGTGGTCTTTGTTGGCTTATAATAAGATGACAAAGAGCAGGAATCCCAAGACCCAGCTGGGAGAGGAAGCCTTCCTGTTTCCAAGGATGGCAGGAGCAGGGTGCTGTGTCACCTTTTCAAATGCTCCTAATGATTTGGTGTGAATCCGGCATGGGCTCACCATGATGCCTCTGCAGGGAATTAGCTGGGGCACACAAGGATGGCCTTAGCAAGTGATTTCTGTGTCACCTTTCTACCAGCTGCAGGGAGGGGGGGATGGATGATCCCAGATCTGGCAGAAAGCCTGCCGAGGTTTGGAACAAATCTGAACTGACAGAGGGAGTTCATCCTGGGTCAGCATTTCACAGCGTTTCTGAGCTGGTATTAGGAGCTTGAAAAGTCACTGAAGTGCAGCATGAGATATTTAAAAGTTGGGGTCCCTACCAGCTCATGGCAGTCAGTTTTGTTCCTGTTTTACAAGCAGAGCTCCCCAGCAGCGCAGTCACAGTGATCATGGTTACCACCATCTCCAGCACACTGAGAAAAGGCAGAAGAACCTTAAAACTGAAGACTGGAGCTCAAAAGGCAGGTGGTGGAACGGTCACTAAAATCAGCTGAAAGCTACTATGTTGTCCTGATTCCTTCCTGATATTTTCCAGTAGCTCAGTGTGTGCTGGCACGTTTGTTGTCACTGGTTGAAGATGTATTTTTGTGTAAAGAAATACAGCTCCTGACGTTAGCAGGACTGAGAGCAAACACCTACCATTCCCATGTAGGGAAGCTGGCATTCAGCACTCCACGGCTGCCTCTGAAAGAAAAAGAAGAGTTTCTTTTCAGCACTGCCAAAAAAGTGATATTAATTGAACTAAAGCTTGGAATGAAATGTGAGCGTGACTTGATCTAGGAGCAGCCTTACAGAATGAAATGTAAAAATATGCAGCACAGGAAGGAACTCATGCGTCGAGTTACAGTAGGACTGATGAATTAGTAAGGATGGTCTATCCATAATTTCAATGAGCTGGGACAGGCAGGTAGGAGAGGGGAAGATGCACATAGAAAAAAGCAATACCAGTAAGTCAGATCAGGAGCCTTCAAAGGAAAAAAATTCAGCCAAGATGAGGGAAAAGAAATCTCCTCCCCTCGGTTCCTGCCATTTGTCATGCATCTGGAGTGATTGTGTAGATGACATGCATTTGCTGAGCTCCTGTTAGGACACCATAGTTAGAGAAATGAATTACCCCAGAAGGCCAGAACGAGGTCTTTCAAAGGTCATTATCAGAACTGGTTTCTCATCAATACACTACTTGATTGGAGGAAAAGACTCAAAATTGCAGGCCTTTGATTGCTGAGTGGGAAGCTTTTAACTGCTTCCTGCTGTTCTGTCATTTTGTGCTAACCCCAAATGGCCCCATTAAATTGATGTCCTGTTTCCCATTCACTGCCCACAAATCACTCTTCTCCTGTTAATATAGGAAACATTTGCACATGATGGGAATTGGAGTGGCTAAACAGTAAATCTTAGAGCCAGTAAAGAACACAAAAACATTTACCCAGCTACCAAAGTATTGATTTCCCCCCACCTCTTTATAATATTCAGTTACAGACTTTATTAAAAAACACAGAACCTCACGTATGCCTTTAGAGAATCTTTGCACAAATACTGTTCCCAGCCAGTGCAGTGCAAGTCACTCTGATTTCTGCGTGACAGTGAATTTCTTGCAGCTAATCAGGAGGTAAAACAAAGGCCAGGAGTGATGCAGCTGCTCGGGCAGTGGGGTGTCATTGCCAACACCGTGTGACACCATGTGCCACTGCTGTGGGTTAGGGCAGCAATGAGAACAGCACAGCAGCTCTGCCTTCTCAGGCCAGCAATGCTATGAGAGTGACTGGAACCTGGGAGCTCTTTGGGCTGAAGAGGAGCTGAGCCCCAGAAAGGTTTTTCTTCACTTTGATGGATGTCTGAGCTTACGGAGTCTTACAGATTTGCACACACACTCTCCCATCCAGAACCGACTCGTGCCTCGGGTCCTTCCATTGACAGGGTCTTACTGAAGTCCATTTCTACTGTCAGGTTAAACTAAAAGATGCTGAAAATGCACTGGGGTGATACCAGGTCCCTTCTACACATGGTCTGCTGCAGAGTTCCCCCAGCAGCAGAGGGAAGCATCGATAACTTGATAGTGAATCCTAAAACAAGATTAGGTAGTGCAGGAATACCCTACAAATGGTCTCAAAGCACTTTGACATAACTGGAGAGGATGGAGTGAGTGAGCACCTTGTAATTTATGGTGCTTGCTGTGAGCAAACAAGAAAAAAACTAACCCTTTTTCTGCTGGCCTTCAGGCAGTATTGTTCCCTTCTCTCCTTCATATCTCAGTTTCCCCCACTAGAAGAATGGGAGGATGAAATCGAGCACCTCTGCAGAGAGAGGGCTTTGATATCTGCTGATAAAACCTGCTCCACAGGCAGCAGGAATCAGGACAGGTGCAACAAAGCCCAGCTCTCCTCAGGCAGCTGAGCTCGCTGGTGGGGTCTGTCACCAAAATGTTTCCAATATCCTTAAATGTCACTAAACTAAGAAAAGTAGCATTGCTGAAAATCACGATGAAAGGGGCCTCAGATGTAAATCCTTTCTAAAATCTTTGTAATCCTCAACAGCTTTAGTTCCAACAGATCTTCCCATAAAATGAACTGCCAGCCAAAAGGTAAATATAAATGCAAAATATTCCCAGAGCAAACATGTTACTGGCTTTTAAAACAAGTCCATTTAAATAATGTGAAAATATATTAAAGAAGCAGAATCTATTCTGCTTTATATTTAAAGATGAATTAATGCAAATATCACAGGTTTATCCTGCATTAGTCCCTCGAGAGGAGTCACTGGGGAAGCAATTTGTTTCTTGTTAGCTAAGGCAGGGAGCTTTGAAGTTACTGAGTTGTCTGTCTCTGCAAGTAGCCCATCTAATCTTGAGGAAAAGTGTCAGATCTAAGTTGGAGTGAGTTGCGTGTCTGGGCATTGTTTAAATGTCTGGCAGGAAGAGGTCTTCAGCGTGCCACCAACCAGCAGGATGAGGACAGTGGAAGTGACACAAAGAATGTCTGGGAGAAATCTTTTAATGGCTATTAACAATGGACAAGAGCCCTGAACAGTGAGTGTCAGGAGAAAGGCTTCCATTTTGCCATTTTTTGTCTTTTAAATTGACTCCTACTAGGTTAAGGGCTCTCATCAGTTGCTTTTTGATCATGTCAGGTGAGGATGATTTCTCTGAGAGCTGATTGCTGGGAAAGCCACCAAAAGAGGCCTTTTTTTCCCCAGACGGTCTCATAGTTTTAGGGATGTTCACATACCCCTGCTTCCTTGACTGTGCTCATTAATCTGTTTCTGGAGCTGTGCTGTGACTGGATTAGGTAAATCACCTACAATTAATTTCTTTTGATTTCATCTTCGAATTTTGTGATCGGTTTGTTGGCGCAACTGTGCGGGCAATGAGTCGTTACCGGTTAGGTGGTGGAAGCACAAACCTCTGACAGGCTGTTTCCCTGCACAGAAAAAAAATTGAAAAGCTCTTGTCTGAAACTCCAGAGCTGTTGAGTTCATAGCAAACTCCACCTTCATCCCAGAACTGTTTTTCAGAAATCAATTTTTCTACTCTTTAATTACAAATGAGACCCTCAGCTGTCCATCAGCACAGCTCCACTGAGCTGCTACTCATGAGCTCTACAGTGTCAGCTTTTAGCCTGAAGGTACCAGCCTTGGGTTATCAGCTGCAAAGGAAAACTCTGCAATGTTAAGAGCCTGTAAAGCCATTCAGGGAGATCAGTATGCATCTGAAGATAGCTCAAAACAATAGCTAGAGGGGGGAATATAAACTGTTTACTACAATTGGATTTGCACTGAAACCTACTGATGCAAAATTCATAGCCTACATGAATTAATTTGCTCCTGATCACTTCTTACAAAAACTATGGCTTCTCCCCCTTCCCTTAATGACTTCTATTTGACAGCTGTGGATTTGCAAAGTGAACTGCAGTAGCAGAGTAGACATAAACATTTGGAAATGGCACTAAAATCTGTGAAATGAATTGCCTTTGAAATTTACAGTTGTTGCTAGCTTATACAGAATCAAACTTGTCATGTGTTTATGGACTACACTTAATCTTTGAGCATCTTTCATCTCCCTATCACCTGTGTGTGAGGGAAGTATTAGCCCTGTTTTACAGGTGGAGAAATAAGGCCCAGGACTCCTGAGAGAGGCCTGGGAATGACTCTGCTCTGTAGCACGGTCTTACTCACAGGAAGGCACCCCCTCACCTTTTCTTGTTGGATCAGCTGCAAGATCTCACATTGGTTTTCCTGATGTGCCACAAAATCAGGGAATGGTTTGAGTTGGAAGGGACCTTAAAGATCACCCAGTTCCAACCCCCTGCCATGGACAGGGACACCTTCCACTAGACCAGGTTGCTCAGAGCTCCATCCAACCTGGCCTTGAACATTCCCAGGGATGGGGCAGCCACAGCTTTTTCTGGGCAAACTGTGCCAGGGCCTCAGCACCCTCACAGCAAAGAATTTCTTCCTAATACCTAATCTAAACCCTGCCCTCTCTCAGTTTAAAGACATGCTCCCTTGTCTTGTCACTACAGGCCCTTGCAAATAGTCCCTCTCCACCTTCCTTTAAGGTTCCCTTCAGGTACTGGAAGGCTGCAATTAGGTCACATCAAAGCCT